CTTTGTCCTTTATATCTTTCAATAAAATTCTGCCATTTCCTCCCAGAAAGGTCATGCACATTTTTCAAAAGATTTATTTCTTGATACCTTATTACTCTCAGCACTATTGTAGCTAATAATTTTCAAATTGAATTTCCTATCTGCTCCCTGTATGTAGGGGAAATGTCAGCTTTTGCATACTGGATTTATGCATGTGGAAAACTGGGCGAAAATCTCACGGCAGCTTTTTAAATTAAAAAAAAAAACAATTATTTGTGTGTGTGCCCATGCAAGCAACCTGTCAGGCTGCATCTGTGGAGGCCAGAGGACAATGTATGGGATCCTAGGGATCAAACTCGGGTCCTCAGGCTTGGCAGCAAGCTCCTTTACTCTCCGAACCCTCTTGCCAGCCTTTGTCATAGCTCACTCTGGGATTTGCTAACAAGCCTGGCAGTGATTTGCAGTTTGTCACTAGTAAAAGAATGACAGTATTGTTTCTTCTCCTGGTTTTATAATATTCATTCCTTGGCTTGACTGGGATCTTCATAGAAAGCCCACGTAAGCCTGCGGTGTCAAACATGGAGCCTCAGTCCCGGCTTGAAAAGATTCTTCTGACGTCTTAACATGAAACAGAGGAGGCCCGTTGTCCATTAAAGATGCTCACCACTCTTCTCCAAAACAGCTTTGGGTTTTATTCTGTTTAATCTTACTGAACACTTTTCCAGATGAACAGAGATGTTATAGGTGACAATGATGTCTTTTTTGAACCCTGTCACCCTGGTTAGTCAGTCCTGACAGTCTGCCGGACTGTCCCCAGCCATTCTCCAATCCATGCGACCCTCTTGCTATGCTTCCACATGTGCTCACAGGGGGGAACATGTACACACCAGTGTGCACACACATATACACATGTGTACACACTTGTAAATGGAGGCGGAGCTTTTCTTTCGTCCCAACAACTCAGTCCCAAATAAACACACAAAAGTTTAATAATATTAAACATAATTCTTACTTGATAACTGTTTTGTTGTATGTAATTTTACTATATTAAAGTTAAAGAGTTCCTTTTGGGTGAGACAGAAAGGTGGAAATGCTGTGGGATAACCCTTCTGTACACTGTGAATATGTATTACTCTCATTGATAGATAATAAAGCTGATTTGGCCTATAACAAGGCAGAATAAGGCTAGGCAGGAAAGCCAAACTGAAGATATAGAGAGAAAGAAGGACAGGGTCAGAGAGAGATGAGCCAGCTTCAGGGGAAGCAAGATGCTAGAGGACAGGTAAAGCCATGAGTCATGTGGCAAAATGTAGATTAATAGAAATGGGTTAATTTAAGTTGTAAGAGCTAGTTAATAATAAGCCTGAGCTATAGGCCAAATTAATATTAAGCTTCTGTGTGACCAGGCAATTAGGACAAAAGAAAAGCTCCAGCTCCATTTACACACACTCACACCTGCATGCACACACATGTGTACATATTCACATGTATGTGCACATACATATATACAGGTGTACACACACTCACATGTGCACACACATATACACACACTCACACATGTAAGCACACACACTTGTACACACATGTGCATGTGCACATACGGATATTCACATGTGTACACACACAATTTACCAATTTTGATATTTTTATAAGCTTGTGAATTTCTTTTTCATAATGTGCCACTTGAAAGTGTATCGTTCGTGTGCACATGTGCAGGAAAGGCTGCTGCCTCTCTGCAATACTTTACTTACAGAAGACCATGCGCCACATCCTGGTGACTCCTGTTGGGGTGACGGGCTTGAGTGCTGGCTTGTGGAGCTTTTAATAAACAGACGTGAGTTGATGCCACACCATCTACCATCAGAGATGCTAGCCGCACCTGTCCGTCTTCTGTAAGGGCACAAAGATAACTGTCTGGCTAGACTTTGCTACCAAGGCCAGGTGTGGAATCTCCGCTATGATGGTAGCCCCACCTGAGCTCTGGTTCAGTGTTTGCTTTCTAAACCCCGAGGCTATGTCATTAGGCGCACACAACCTTAGAACTGTAGCATCTCCCTAAAAATGTTCACCTTAAACAACCAGTCTTTATCCCACATCTGGCCAGAGCTGATGTTCAAATGTGGAAATAAGGGGTTTAAAAACATCATTTGGGGCAAAGGAGATGGCTCAGCAGGAAGAATCCTTGCCACACAGCAGGAGAACCTGGACTTAAATCCTCAGAACCCACATAAAAGCCAGGTGGAGTAGGGTGGCCTCACAATACAGATGTTCCTACTGTGAGATGGGAGTGGAAGCAGGAAGACCCCCCTCCCCCAAGCTCGCTGCTAGCTAGCCTAGCACAGGAGCAGTAGACAAGAGACTCTGCCTCAAAGCAAAGGGGAGAGGAGGACTGGCTCCTGAGCTTGCCTTCTGTCCTCCACACGGGCACCATGCCACATGTGTGCCTCAATAACACACACAGTATAAGATTAAAAGATAATAAATAGGACTGGCAAGATGGTTCTGTGGATGAAGGTGATTGCCACCAAGCCTGATGATCTTAGTTCAATCCCCAGAACCTACACATGGTGTTCTGTGTAACTCCCAAAAGTTGTCCTCTGACCTCCAAACTTGCACATGGTATTCACAGATACACATATAACAAATAAATAGTTTTAATATGGATGGGTGCATGGATGGATGGATGGATGGATGGATGGATGGATGGATGTGGACGGATGGGTGAGGGAAGCTCCCCTTCCTATTGGCTGCTTCTGCTCTAGAGGTTTCTAGTTCTTCTCACTCTCTGAGACTAGAACAGTGTGGGGCTCTGAGACCTCTCCTCACTCAACCTTAGGCACTCCATTGGCCCTTCACACCAGTCTTCAGCTCATCCATGCTGTTAAGAGCACAGTCATTCCAGTACCCTAACCTCCCCAAGCAACATCCACACAGTCCAAACTCAAAAGTACTTAAAGGGCTTGTATTTTAGGAATGTCTTCCTGGAGCTGGAGAGAAGGCTCAGGGCTAAGAGAGAGGACTGGTCCTGCAGAGGACCCAGCTCAGTTTGCAGCGCCAGCCATCAAGTGACTTCCAATAACCCCAGCGCCAGGGCATCTCTCCCTCTTCTGGCCTCCAGAGGCAACTGCATTCGTGTGTGCCTACTCTGCCCCACATACACATAACTTAAAAATAATAAAATCTTCTCAAAAGAATGCCTCCAGCTAGTGTCCCTGTTATCTGGGTCCCATCATCAGGTGACCTTCACGGCTGATTCCTCCAGTCCCCTCTAGACTAATCCAGGAGAATAACGCATTCTTTATTTCCTCTCCCGTTGTCCTCTGTCCTGGGCACCTCCTTGGTTTCCATTAATTATTCACCCTGAACTTCGTTCCCTATTTGTGAATAGCTTCCTCTCTTCCCAGCCCCAAGTACCGGCCTGGGAATGTCTGAGGAGTTCCCGCTGGGTGAGGAGGTGGATTGGATTCCCGCCTCTCTCAGCTGCAGGGCTACAGCTCTGCGCGTGCGCATGCTGGCAGGCGTGGCTTCTGGAGGCAGCTTTCCCTCCACCTTCAGGGTCATCGGATGGGGCGGAAGGTGGGGGGGGGGGTCTAGACCCTTGTTCTTGACCACCCTGCAGGACTCTTTCAGATCCTCGCAGGCATTGCCTTAGCCAGCTCCTCTTTTTCCCTCTCACCAACTCAGAGGTCCAGGCACGACTGTTTTTGACAGTCGGGCAGGCAAAAAAGAAAGAAAATACGAGTGGGTTGATTGTGATTTGCATTCGGCTTCCTCTCAGCTAGAATCTTTCCAGCCAGCTTGGAGCTCACCCAGTTTCCGTCCTCCCCCACCGTAGTGTTCTCTTCTGCTTTGCCCTTTATATCTTTTACGTTGGTGCTTCCCACTGACTTTTTTACCAGGGAAATTTGCTCCTTCCCTGGGGAGTGACAGGCACGGTTCTAGCTTAAGCGAGTGTGGGCTAGTTACCTATCTCTTCCTTTAATGGTTTCGGGAGCTTCCCCGAAAGGCTTCTTCTGCATTCTGGGCCGTGTTTTAGAATCATCCTTCTGTGACTGCTTCTCCCAGGTTCCTGGTTTTAACATTTCACACTCGCTTGCCTGGGACAGCTCATATCATCCATCCGTGTGGAGCGCGTCCTACTTCCTATTTTTCCAGATGGCCTCCCATTAGCCAGCCTTTCAGCCTGGTGATGATGTATGTCTGTCTCCACAGTGACACGCTTCCTGCCTCCTACTAAACCACGTTTAAAGTCAGGCTGGCCTGGGCTATCTTTCTTCACACTATTCATCTGAGTCCCAGCACCCAGGACTCTCAGGGTCCTTAAAGCGTTTCTTCTTAAATATTTCATTTCTTTGGGGGAGGGGGGGCTGGAATGGGGGTGGAGAACAAGGTGTCCTCATGAAGTCCAGGCTTCAAACTCATGATTCTCCTCAATATCCCAAGTGTTGGGGTTACAGATGTGCACCACCACACATGGATATAAATATTTTTAGGAAATCTCTCCTTTCGCTGTGCCCCTCAAAATGTCATCAGATAAAAGCAAACACTACTCCTGCAGAGGACCTCAGCTGGGTTCCTAGGATCCACATCAGGTGACTTAACTCTCTCTGGGGGATTCAGTACCCTCTTCCGACTGCCACAGATGCCTTCATCCATGCACGCAGGCACGCACAACACATGGGCACACTATTTAAAAACAATAAGCAAAACACCTTTAATTGGGAATGAAGCTTTTCTGTGAGGAACGTGGAGAGGGCTTGGTGCTGGGGAGGGTGAATTTTGAGTTTTCTGGGCGGTGAGCCTCGCTGTGAAGGCTGCCGTCAAGATCGAGCGCTGCCAGATTCTGACCCCATCAAGTCTTGCAAGTGACTGCTGCGGGCTTCCCTCCGCTGGCCTCTAGCCAGACCGTGAGACGGGTCCTTACCCAATGGTCGGCCTTTTCCCAGCAACCGTGTCCCTACTTCCTGCTTACTTCTCCAAGAGAGTTTTCTAACACCCTTGTTCACCTCTCACAGAAGAAGGTGGCCCGGGAGCAGCAGCCCCACAGGAGCCGCAGGAGCGCATTGTACCCAGGAACCATCTGGATTTGCCTGTGTGCAGAGTGGAGGCCTGGTGCCTGCACCCTCTCCTTCCCTCCGACGGCAGGAGGTCTCGGGTACTCTCTGGCGCCCTACTGTGTCCCTCCCTGGGGGGGAGGGGGAGACTCGGAAGACCAAAGGGGAAGGGGCCTGAAGGGAGATTGGTCCCCTGTCAGCACATCCCTCGTGCACTACGTAGCTAACATGCTGTGTGTCTCCTGCAACATATTTAAACAGTCTTGTGCAGGGTCCATTTGAACAAAGCGACATCTCTGCCCCAGGGAGCTCCCTGAGAGGCAGACAGATATTACAGTAGGTTAATCTAAGGAACCTCATTGGGTAAGGAAGATGGGGGAACAAGCTAACGAAAGTGGGGATTTGGCTGGAGGTCTCGGGTGTCTGCAAGTTGACCAAGGATGCGGTGCGCCTGGAACGACTCGCACAGGGTGCACAGTACCAGGTCCCAGAGGCACACTCTAGATGCTTCTTTGTATTTTTTTTTTTTTTTCCTGGAGCAAAGTGAAAAAAACCACAGGATGTGAATTCCACTGGCGCCCTCTGGTGGTCAAATGAGGAATAGGTTTGGGTGGGTTGGGGCAGAAATAAGAAACAGGCCCTGACTGCTTACAGGATGGGTAGGGTTGAACTGCGACCCACGAAGAGATGTGGAGGGAGGGTTGGTGGTGTGGACAGACTGAAAATATGTAGTATAGAGTCTGTGGGACTTGATAGTGGTAGAATCTCTAGTGTCCAAAATGCCAGTCTCTGGCTGGGTACAGGCGCTTACTGGCAAGCTTGATTACCCAAGTTCCATGACCAGGACCCACACAGGGAGGAAGGAGCTGACTCCTGCACACGTGCAACCACACAAACACAATAAATAAATTCAAAGTGTGCTATAAATTTTTTTAATGTCAGGCTCATCGTCCTTAGCAATGTGGCAGGTGCTATCCGTAGATCTTTATGGTACAGTCCCCCCCACCACATGGGGACGTGGCAGGAGAGTAGTGGCCAGGAGCCAGGAAGCAGCCTTCCCCAGGTGCTGACCTGGCAGAGCCCGGGCTTCCAGCCCCCAGAAACACAAGCTGAGTTTATAAGTCATTCAGTCTGCAGCTCTTAGTCACTGTGACCGAACAAGACAGAGTGAGGACCGACTGGCGCTTTAGCTGACAGGCTGTTGATTGATGGTTGATTGATGACTGATTGATTGATACCGTATAGTACAGCATACTGGTATAGTACTCGGGGTTTACTTTAACACAGTTACAGTAAGGGACGATCAACAAATAAGAATGGGCTCCACTTGCCCAGCCTGTTGGGGTCTGTGTACGCACTGTGACATGACAAAATCAAACTAATAATCGCCCACATGGTGTTTTGTTTCGCTTTGTTTGCAGGAGGTGAGAACACCAGCTCTTGGCACGGTCCAGATACACAGTGCAGGCTGCAGAGCACCCTCTTCCGCTTCGCAGGCCTCACCCCGCTCACCCCGAGCATCTGTTCCCAGCTCTTAGCTCTGTCTTGGCTGTAGCGGATGGTTCCTGACTGCGGATCTGTGACCAGCTGTCTTGGCATCCTTGCGAGCATATGAGGAAGCGAATGTTGCTGGATCATAGAGTTCCGTTTTTAAGTTTTGAGGAAGCCCTGGGCTGTTTTCCACGATGGCTGCTCATTTGCATTCTCACCAGCACTTCAGGGCAACCTTCCCCTCATCCTCCACCACAGATCCTCTGTGGGCTGCCTTCCCATTCTGATGGCCGCCCTTCTGAGAGAGAAGAGCGTCTCCCCGCTGCTTTCATTTGGATTTCCACGGTGACTTATGAAGATGAGCTTTGTGTTCAAGTGTCTGAGCCCATTCTTGTCTTGTTCTGAGACATGTCTGCTCGAGACTTTGCCGGCTTTAAGATCAGATTGTCCTCCTGCTCTTGAGTTGGGTTTGGTCTTTATATTTCCTGGATAGCGGCCATCTGACAGATGTGTGTCTTATGAATCAATCCAGCTGCGTGAACTCTCTCCATTCTGTTGATTGCTGGCTCTGTCACCTTCTGATTCGATGCATCCTTACATCTTCCTTGCAGTTGTTCTATGTCTTTTCAGGACCACGTTTTAAAACCATCAATGCACAGGACGATGCCAGGGAACTCTCTCCCCTTTTCTCCTAACACATCTACAGTCCCACTTTCATAGCTCTTAACCGGTTGTGTGAAATTCTACTCTTTATTGTTATTTTATGTGCATTGGTGTTTTGCCTATATCTGTGTCTTATGAGGATGTCACATCCCCTGCAACTGGAATTAAATTGCAGACAGTTGTAAGCCAGATGTGGGTGCTGGGAATTGAACCTGGGTCCTTTGGAAGAGCAGCCAGTTCTCTTACCTGCTGAGCCACCTCTTCAGCCCCTACTCTGTGCATGTGAACATTCTGCACTCCCAGTATCATCTAATCGAGAGACGGTCCCTGCCTCCTCACGTGCTCCTGAAAGCCGGTTGGCTATAGATGTGTGTACGCTTATTTCTGGGCTCGCTGCTTTGTCCTGTTGGTCTGTATGTCTGCTTTTAAGCCAGCACCATACAGTTTTGACCACGACAACTTTGTAGTATGTTTTGAAATCAGTTATTGTGATGTCCACAATTCTTGATGTTCAAGATTGCTTCTGCTGGGTATGAGGTTCAGCACTGGAGAGGCTGAGGCAGGAGGATCACAAGTAGGAGGGCCTTTCTGTACTGCATAGTAGAAGTGGAACTCTATTGTATGAGAGAGAAAGAGGTTGCTCAGCTAGTCCACTCTTCAGGCTGTTTCATGATTCCATACATATTTTAGTAATTTTCATTCTTGTGAAAAATAACACGTAAATTTTGACAGGATCACTACCGAATCTTTAGGGCACTTTGGTTAGTGGAGGCATCTTTGTTTGATTGATTGATTTTGAGACAGGGTCTTGCATAGCCTAGACTGACCTCAAACTCCCTATATAGTCAATGACCTTGACCTTCTGACCTTCTGCCTCCACCTCCCAAGTGCTGGGATTGCAGATGCCCACCACCGTGACTGGTTTACAGGAGCTAGGGATGGGTCCCAGGTCCTTGTGCATATTTGGAGACTCACTCCACCGACTGACCCATGTGCCCAGGCCATCACTGGCATTTTAACAGCAGGAGAACAGAGTCATGGACTCAGCAGTGACCCCGGGCTAGCTCTTTACTTACTGTGCCTTCTTCCATTTCTTTCCTGACCCCAGAGACAAAGATCTGCAGAGCTCCCAGGTGGCCCCATCTCTTAAAGGTCCCTAACATGACCATCGGAAGAACCTCACTTCCAACACACCTCACACATTTTACAGAGAAGCAGCCCAGGCCTCGTCTCCAGGTCCCTTCCCACTGCCAGTCACCCACACGGCTTCCCAGACCAGTGACTGTAAGTGGTGGCAGGGCTGAGGCCTTGACCCAACTTGACTAGTGTATTACAAAAGGAGATAGGAACACAGACAAGCACAGAGAGAAATGTCTGTGAGGTTTGGCCTTGGTGGCCCATGCCCGTCATCCCAGCACTCAGGAGATAGAGGGAGAGGATCCAGAGTCCAAGACCAGCCTTAGATACATAGGCGTGGCAGTCTAGGTACAGGGACTTATCTCTGGAGGGAGGGGGAGAGAGGCAGAGAGACCAAGTTGTAAGCATGTGAAGACCCAGGAAAAATCACAGAGCAAAAGCCACAGAGATGCCCAAGACAATCCAGGACTGTTGATGACTTAGTGGATTAGGTGACTGCCACCAAACCTGGTAACCTGAGTTCAGTCTCTGGGAACCACATGGCAGAAGAAGAAAACTGACTCCCAAAAGTTGTCTGACCCTTGACTTCTGTATGTGCACTGTGATACACCTGCACATACACAGAAACACACACACACACACACACACTATGCTTAGGGGAGTGCACTCTGGGGCAGGCCTCCAGGAAAGCTTCTAGAAAACCATAGGCTTGACCAAGGGAATTATTGCCAAGACATAACCAAGAAAGGAGGGAACCAAGGTCAAGTCATCACTACTGCTGCCACCCAGAGGCTGGACAATGCCACCACTTCTGTCGCTTGTCCCTCAGAAAGCACATGACGTGGTGCCCAGTGCTGCCACCTACTGTCACCTCTTTTCCACACTCACAGACCCACTGGCTAGCCACTGCCCCCAAGAGCAGCCAAAACACCCCCCTCCAGTATACAGCACAACCTATCGAGAGCCATAGCTGCAAGGGATCCAGGACACAGCATTGTGAGTATCAAGGCCTTGGCCACACAAGTCAGGGTGCCCCCCCCCATCACTCCCTGGCTGTGTGATTCAGGGAGAATCATAGAACCTCTTTCAGGCTCAACCCTGCTCACAGGCTGGATGGGGTACCTGTAGGATCTCAAAGGGAAGGGCTTTGGGAGGAGCCAGCCTAAGAGAGACTTCTTGACAAGGCAGGTCCTTCTTTGCCGGCAGGGGAACAAGAGGTGTAGATGGGTCCTAGTGCCTGGCCTCTCAGCCCACTTCCTTTTGAGACTCATTCCTCCCTCCCTGCTGAAGTCACAGGCACACACTGACCTACACGCAGGTGTACACGGAGGTCACAGCTTCACCATATGGTTTGCACAGGTTGACCCACCCACTCTTCCCCCTCCTGTGGAGGCCCTCAGACCCCCTCCAGCCCACAGCCCCTTCCCAGGTTCTCCCCAGGGAATGGTCGCTGCTGTCCTCTGCTACTGCTCCATGTGGTGGTGGACTAACCCGAAGACTGTCTGCTCCCAGGGTGGGGTGGACCTCACTGCACCCCTGGTCTCCCATGTGACCCAGATCGGTGTCACTCACCACCTGAAGAACCTGAACACAAAGTTTTGTCCTCTGGTAACAAAGAGAATCGCTGGCTATAGGCATTTGTAGGGACTAGAGAGGGGGAAAGAGAGAGCTGATGGCTGTCAGCTGTGCCCAGGAGCATAGGGATGCTGCACAGGTGACTTGTACCCCCGATGGGGCTTGTCCTCACAGGTGAAGTAAGGGGCAGTTGACCACAGAGGACAAGCCTAGAACCACAGTGGCCTATGGACAGACGGGCAGAGAGGGAATGAAGTGGGGGGTGTGTGACCAGAGATGAGGGAGGGGGGAATGAGAGAAGATGGAGCAATAAAGGAAGGTGGATGGGAGAAGGGAGGACAATGGAGGGAGGAGGGAAGATGATGGATGGGAGGAGGGAAGGGAGATGGGGGAGCAGATGAACTTCCTGGAGAACCAGCCCGGCTCTCCATGTAAGGCCTTTGCATTTTGACTATACCAGCCTTTCCAGCTGCCCTCTATGGGGTGTGGGGGTGGGGTGTGAGTGACCCCAGGGGAAGCTAAGAACTCAGACAGTGATAAACAGTATCCATACCATACCATTAACCACCAGAAGTAATGGTGGGGGGCGGGGAGTCCGAATAAATAAAATTCTGAGTAGAGATAGAATCTGACCCAGAACATCAAAGGCTTACATCATCTGTTCCTGTCAGACCCAACCTCCCACGCCTGTAGGAGGAGTTTCTTACACACCCCTGCAGCTCCTGACGCCACACTGCCCTCAGGCTCCAATGCCCTGCACCCTTCACTCTGAGACCAGCAGTGGAGACTCAGGGAAGATGCATAGAGAAATCAAGGCAGAGGGGGAGCCCAACCCCAGGACCCCTTGGGTGAAGCTTGAGGGACCCTCAGAGGTGGGCATCGCCCTGGAACCCAGGAGTATTTCTGAGTGTGGTTCCCACTTCCGTCACACGAGGGCGCCAGTGAGCTGGCTGTGCTCAGAGTAGACTTCCTCTGCCTCCCTGGCTTCCCTCCATCAGTTCCTAGGTGCCCACAGAGCCCCAGGCCCAGCCCTCCTGCTGCAGCTGGCTGTGGTTGGCTATCTGTTGTGTTCCATGGACATTGTTCTCAAGATTCCTCAGAACTCCCCTTGTTAAGATAATCACCTCCCCCGTGGGGCTGCTGTCAGTCATTACTCTCACAGAACAGGAAGCTGGTACCTGTCCTCGGAAGCTGGAGCAAGCAAGAGAAGAGCAAGCTTTCCATCCTCAAAGTCCGCAGTTTCAATAGCACCTCCATGCCCACCCCAAGACCACAACGCACATGTAGCCCAGGCTAGCCTCAGACTCACTGTGTAGCAGAGGATAACCTTGAACACTTGATCTTCCTGCTTCCACCTCCCAAGTGCTGGGATTACAGGGTGCACAGTCACGCCCAGTTTCTGGGGTGCTGGGATGTAAACCAGGGCTTTGTTAACACAAGGCAATCATCCTACCCCTGAGCCATGTCTGCAGCCTGCGGTACCTCCACTTTGTACAGGAAGACTAACAAGCCCGGCTTTCACCTTGCTGCTAGGACAGAACCGTGGTGGAGGCCTGGGATGTCTGACCCAAGTCCCTAGGCCTCATGCTCCTCTCTGGAGTCCTGTGAAGCCCACAGTCTCCTGAGGGCCAAGCAAGGATGACTTCCATCCACAGGCAGGTCATGAGTTCCCATCCCCCATGATGCTGAGCGTGAAAGATGTCCCCACCGCCATATCTGTGCCAAGGCTGTGGTGGACCCTGTTAGACCAGGGCGGTGTTTCTCAACCTGTGGGCTGCGACCCCATTGGAGGATGCATGTCAGATATTTACCTCTCGATTCATAGCAGTAGCAAAATTACAGTTATGAAACAGCGGTGAAATGATTTCATGGCTGGGGGTCACCACAGCATGGGGAGCTGGCCTAGGGTGACAGAGACCTGGGTAGCTGTGGTTCTCAGCGTCCTGTCAGTCCGGCAGACACAGAGACAAGGGTGAAGACTGCACTGAGCAAAGAACCCGAGGCCCCAGAGGAGGAAATGAAACCTGACTGGGTTTGGCAGCGCTGAGCGGAGCCCGCACGTCGCTTCCTCGCTTCCTCTTCTTGTGATTATGAAGGAGACACTTGGGCAGTTGTCAGGGCTCCTTCCGTGGGCTGCCCCGGCCTTAGAGGACTACAAGCTCACCGCCTTGACACTGCCTTAATTATTTCCTGTATAAAATGCAAAAGCAACTAGACCACAGTTTGGGGGTGCAGGCCACTGTCGTCAAGACACCAGAGCTTGGTGTCACTGTTCACAGAGCACACACAGTCCAGGCGCCCTGTTTGTTTTCTCCTTTTCCTGCAATCCAGGATCCTGAGCCAGGGAATGGCGCCACCCACGGTGGGCAGGCCTTCTCACTTTAATTTACCTA